TTCGAACTACCAACTTCTCCTGGGCAAATTAGTAAGGGAGCTCCTACTGTACAAGGGAGACTCCCAAAAGGGAGGAGAAGGTGCTCAAACATGCTCAAATTTTGGAAAAAGGGCCTCAAGGGGGAGGACAGAGACCAGATTCTACCTTTTGAAAGGAACAAATTCAATCATTTCAAGGAGAGAGGTAAACGCGTCATCACCCACCCTTCCTGAAAATGGTAAGCTTTCCTTCAAATTCACGGCCTGGAACCATCATTGCTCTGCGAGCACATTTTCGTGTCAAACTTGAGGAAGAAGCCAAGTTCCAATTTTTGTGAACCGAGAGCGCACTAGTCAGAGGGGGAGACTAGAAATCAAATGCTACAGGTGTCACTACTTTTAGATGTTAGTAGAAAAGTTAGAAGAAAGGGAGAGGAGACAAAGCAATGAGGGCGGGATCGTAGGTGCAAGGAAAATGATCGAGAGAGAGAGACAGAAAACCAAATTGCAACATCACATTGAAGACCAGATAGTCGTGTCCCAAGCAGAAAGCAGAATGCACTGATATACTAGCCAAATAAGAGCAATACAATGAACTCAAACGTCAATGTCAGCCTCTTCTTGCCACCATCCACATTGTATCCAATGTCGCTCTTCTTGTATGGCGCTCAGCGCCCAGCCTATCACTACTCCAGAGCCTATACTAGACTACAACTAAGTGACAAAGCAACCAGGAACACTTCCAATGTACATGAAGAAGTCGCCAGTGCAGACTGTCGCATACACATCAGGTGTGTCTCTCTGGTCTCTCTCCCCTCTCATCTCCTCCTCCCCCACAGTGTGCGTCTCCTACCCGACGACCAACATCACCATCACTGGCAACAGCGAGGTCTGCCTGGCTATGGTGACCGCACTCGCTGCCACAAGGCAGCGCCCCTCACACCACGAGCGCCAGCATGCGCTATCCAGTGCCAGCTCCCAGGCGACCTCAAGCGCACAGTGCAGCAGCGCTGTCGCCCAGTTGCCTACAGCCAGAATGTGGCATATGTAGATCCCACACAGGCCCAGTAGGACCCGTCAGGTAGGTAGGCAGGGGTAGGGACTTGGCTTCGATCTGGCGCATTAGTTTTGTGGCCCGAAGTAGGGCCTGCGTCGGTTCAGGCCAGAAAAAGGGCCGTTTTAGGCCCGAACCAGGTTCAGCCTGGTCAGACCCTGGTACCGGTAACGGTTCTGGCCCTGGCCTCCTTTTTTCCCAGGCCACACTTGGACCGTCCGATTCGATCCAAGCGTACGATCAGATTGTTTCCCAGGCCATTCATTCTGGGCCTCACGTTTAGGCCAGTAGGACCTAGGAGAGGCCAGCCCAGTAGTATTTATAGACTGGTCAGTGGTCTGCCTCTCGCTCGGTAGGTTCGTGTGAGTTAGTACTCAGCATTATGCTGTGGTAGTCTTCAGCACTGGGCACAGTAGTGGTAGGTTGGAGGTGGCGAGCGTGGAGGCTGTAGAGGAGACTGCAGCAGGAGAGAGGCGGAGGCCAGACACTGGGACTTACCTGATGACTCACACCTGGGGCGCCATAGCTCCAGCTTCGCCTTCAGCACTCCAGTACCGATGTCAAGGCAATACCTTTACACGGTCAGTGCTGGTACCTACCTGGTACCAGCAGAGAGAGAGAGGGAGGGAGGACTCATCTTCTTGGTCTTCTTCTCCTCTCCTCCGGCCTCCTCCATCCTCCACCGCTCCGTCTTCCACTTGAGAGAGAGAGAG